AGACGGGGTTTTGCCATATTGGCCAGGCTGGTCTCGAACTGCTGACTTTGTGATCCGCCTGCCTCGGCCTCCCAAAGTGCTGGGATTACATCACCTGGGTTCTTAAAAAAAAAAAAAAAAACCAAAACAACTGCTGCCTGACTCCCATCCTGAGATATTCTGATTTCACTGGTAGGATACGCAGCCCAGGCACTGAGAGTTTTCAAAGCTCCCCAGGTGATTGTGAGGTGCGGCAAAGCTGGGAGTCACTGAGCTGTGGCATTCTTTCAGAGCTGTGGCATTCTTTCAGAGCTGTGGCTCAGTCAGCCCGATGGCCTTCACTCAGCCTCTGGGCAGGGCTTGTGGTAATGCATGATGGCCGTTTGATAGCTCCAAGCTACTGAGTCTGCAAGCCTCACCTGGGCTCCAGGCTATGTGTCCTCCAGTTGACGACTGACTGCTTTACTGCCTCAAGGTCCAGGGTGGTAGTGTGGGAAAGAGTTAGACTGTCGGAACTCTAACTTGGGTACAGGCAAACGGGGGTGGGAAGCGCTGGAGAGAAGGGGCTGGATGGGGTTGGGAATCAGACAGAGGCCTTGGTCCCATCCCACACAGGTGAGGCTCACTGCTGCCCTGGGTGGACTGTCAGGACAAGGATGGCTGCTCCTGCTCTGAGGGGCTGGCCAGCAATTTTGGAACTTCAAAGAGAAGGTTACGATGAAGAGCTCCAGGCTCCTCCAAGCTCAGTACTGGCTTTTCCACATGACCTTGGGTCTGTTGTTCAATGTCTTTGAGTCCAGGCTTAGCAGAGAGGGTCCTTGCTGAAATGCTGTGTGGGCCACAATTAGCAAAGCTAACGGCTCCTACGTCTTGCGTACTTAACACAGTATGAGTATGTCATAGGCACTACTAACCATGGGATATGTGCTATTATTATCCCCATTTTACAGATGAAGAAATGAAGGCCTGGAGAGATCAAATAGCTTGCCCAGGGTGAACCTGCTAATAAGTGGTAAACCAAGTCTGTCTCATTCAGTCTAGACTGTTTCTCCCCAAAGTGATCAAATGGCAAACGTCACTCTTCCCAAGTAGATTAGGACTTTCCCCAAACCATTGTAAATGAGTTTAGTACAAGAAACACAAAAGCATGACTTCCCAGGCTGGAGTGCAGTAGCACAATTGCAGCTCAGTGCAGCCTCAGCTCCTGGGCTCAAGTGATTTTCCTGCCTCAGCCTCCTTGGATAGCTGGGACTACAAGGCACACACCAGCATGCTCAGTTAATTTTTTAATTTTTTGTAGAGACAGGGGTCTCGTTTGGCCTGAAGGTTTCATATTCCTGGTTTCAAGCGATACGCTTGCCTCAGTCTCCCCAAATCCTGGGATTGCAGATGTGAGCCATCACACCCAGCCCAAGTCTTTTTCTGATAGGAAAAATCATTCCTTCTAGACCGAACTTTCTTGTGGAAATCTGCCAAAGACTATGAGGCACGAGGCCTTGAGAACTGAGAGGTGACCCACCCTAGAAGGATTCGGACATAGAAGCTGCTGTGGCCAGTGCAGGCAGTGACTGAGTGGCCTGGGTGAGGGTAAGGCTATTCTTCCCCACACTGCACTCTCCAACTCCACCCCATCCTAGGCCAATGGAGAAGCCTGAGTTAAAGGGACTTGGGAAAGCTGGTTTCCTTTCTGTATCTTCCACTCCCAATTCCCTCCCCTGCTGATGAAATTGGAGATGCCAGAGGTGGGTGTGAAATGGTAGCTTCTGGGTCAGAGGCTAACCTGAAAATCAGACTTCAGAAACCTGGGTGGAGGTCTGAACCACTGTAGGGATTCAAATGAGGTGCTCACAATCTCCAAATGCATTTTCTAACTGGGCAGTCAGATGGCCAGCATACCCTCACTCCAATCCCCAGCACCCCACCCCCGCCATCAGCCACTACTGCCATCACATCACAGCTACCCGGGCACTTCTTAGCCTCTCCCTTCAGGTCAGAGCAATAAAAACCTTCCAGCTGTAGCTAAAGGCTATAAAAGCTCAGTCCTACCCATTGCCTTTCACTGTCCTGGCCACAGCCAAGGAAGTCTCTCTGCAGGGTTCTAGTGCAGCCACAAGAAGACGTCCAGTGGGCAGGAGGGTGGGAGGCTCACAGCCTGGCCTGAGGCTAACTTTCAAGGACAAAGAGCTTGGACAGAAGATTAAATCTCCAATTCCTGATGGATCCAGCCACTAACATAGATTTTTCAGGAACAGAACACACTTGATAAAGTTCTCCTAAGGTTTAGGTGGGGAGGCAGGGTGGCGAAGCCGACCCTATCAGCTTCCCTCTCTCTCAATCTACATCTGAGTGCCTAGCTTAGGCCTGCTAAGTAAGGATGGGCCACAAAGTCTTCCCATTTGTGAACGCTCACTACCCCGCCCCCCACCTGCCTGCTTAAGTCCAATGTCAGTGACAACTCAGTGGCCCTGGGGCAATCAGCAGTCAAGCCTCACCCCCCGACCCCACCCACCTCTAGCGGTCAAGCCTAACCCCCCACCCCTGCTAACTATGGCAATCTGGCTGGGTCCCTAACTGACTCCCCAAACTCTGCCACCTCTCCTGTAAAGCACCCTGTCTCTAAGAGGGAAGAAAGGCAGCTTCAGCAAGGGTCCTCCGGGCCGGGGGCTCCCCCAGCTACCTAATCTGCTTCACCCCTGCACTCCTCCAGGGACAGAACCTCACAGGGCCTCTCTTTAGCTGGGGGAAGGAGACAGAACACTCCTTTTGAATACCTAAGACTCACCCACCCTCTTTTCCTCCAGCTTTCCTGCTCTGGGTCACTGTTAGTCACTCACCATCCTTCCAGGCCCATTTCCTGATAAACCCCTAGTCCCCTGGGTGCAAGGCCCTTCTTGTTCCCTCCACAACACACACACACACACACACCTCCCCCACACACACCCCCACCCAGAGCGGGCTGGTCTCTAACTCCCTAACCCTAATCTGGGCCAAAACAGGGGGGTTGGCTCGCTTCTCTGCCAGGCAGGGTGAAGGGCAGCACTTCTCCCAAAGAGAGGGGGCCTCAGCTGGGGTGTCTCTCCAGGATCCTCCTGCTGCAAGCGCCCCAGCCTTCCAGACCAAAGAGGAGACAGGGCTTCTCCCGGCTTGAGAGGGACCAGGGGCAATCAGCTCTCTCCAGAAAAGTGAAACAGAGGAACAGGTGACACAAGGACTCCAAAATGTCAGGGCTGGGAGGCTTCGCAGACCCCTCATTGCCTTGTACAGGGGTGAGAAGCCAGGCACAGGAGGAAAGACACTTGCTTGCTCTAGGTCACACAGCGAGAACCCGCAGTGAGAGCCCACAGGGAGAACACTTCGCCTAGGGCTTTCCCACCAGAGAGCACAGGGGAATGACTCCAAGCAAGGAGTCCAGTCGTTACTAGGAGTTCTGAAGGAGGGTCAGCACCTGGGGGCTCTGGGAGCGCTGGAGGAGGGAGTGAGAAAGGGCAGCAGAGGGGTTCTTTGGGGAGAATGAAGGGGTGGGCGCTGGGGAGTGGGCAAAGAGGTGTAGAGAATAACCCGGCGTGACCTTGGGCCAGCCGCGTCTCCCTCGTGGGCCCGTCTTCCCTTCTGCAGGCAAGAGGGGCAGGCAAGAGGGCGCCTGGGATCCCGGGGGGCTCAGGCTTGAAGGTGCCACCCCCGCGAGTGAGGGCGCCTCACCTTCTTGAAGTCGGCGGTGAAGGAGACAAGGGTGCCGTCGGGCTTGCGCAGCTCGAGGCTGATGCTGTCGGCGTCGCTGTCCGCCTGCAGGCTCTCCTCGGTCACCTG